GGGGGGGGGGGGGGGGGGGGGGGGGGGGGGGGGGGGGGGGGGCTCATGGCTGTTTCCTGTAGGAGGATGGCAGATCGAGGGTGAGAAGTCAGTGTCTCAGGTGGGGTTACAGTGGGGATGAGGAGAGGTCAGATTCGGGGCAAATACTTCTCGATGAAGTCCTTTACAGTCGCCATCTCCTGCAAGAGAACAAAGTGGATGTTAAGTAGTGAACTATCACAGCATTGGTTTCATGTTCTATTAGTGGGTTACAGTAGGTGAATATTTTCTGACATGAATAAACGGTCTGAAGTTTAAAACTCAGGACTGCTGAGTTGATACTGTTGTCTCTGAAAAAAATACTGAGCCTACTTTAAACTGAGAATAAAAACAACTGGTGTTCTACAAAAGTATGAAATGAATACCCTTAAATGTCAAAATGAAAACAACTTTTACAAACTGATTTAAGCTCACATAAGCACACACACACACACACATTACCTGAGGACAGGAGCTGTGAGAGAGCCCTGGGTAGGTTTTGAAGGTGATCATCTGAGGGTTAACTATGCCTTTGAGTTTTTCTGCCGTCATGGCGCCAAACTGCACCGGGATCATGGCGTCCATCTCACCGTGACAATGCAGGATCGGGATGTTCTTGTGGCCGCTGGATGCCTGCAGAACAGACACGACACCGACTTCAATAAAGTCCACTTTGCTGAAAGCGGAAATCTGAAAATCTTTTTTCCTTTTGGTTTCGGAGAGAGTTTAGTGGAACTATTTCAATAGTAAAAAAATAAAGCAGCCCATTTGACATTTGAACAACATCCGTATAACTTCTCCTCGGTGAGACTGTGACTGTACCATTGGGAAACTCCTGTGGAGTGGTAGCCAGCAACTGAGGGCCACAACGCCAGCCAACTGATGCTGGCAGGTCAAGGCAGTATACAAGGACAAGGCCCCGCCCTGAGGAGGAACACAGGAAGCAGACGGAGAGAGAGACAATTTTAATGGCTGCATTCTTTCACTTTTATTATGTTCAAAATATTTCTCTTGTGGAATGCAACATGATGCTAAAATATGAAGTCCAACCTGAGAGAAGCCACCGAGCATTATGCGGTGTGGGGGGATCCCGTTTTTGACCTCGTGTTCGATTATGGCCTTGACTGGAGGAAAGCAAGAATAAATGTGTTACTCAACATTAGTTTCATATTTTTTTACTCTTAGTTTAAAGGCGTTGTTTAGTTCTCTGACCACCAAGAGGCGCCCCACGTCTTCAATACATTTCTGGCTGTCAGGAGCTCAAAGTTCAAAACTAAAGGCCTGGGTTTGCCTGAATAGAATTAGTTTGTACGTGGTGTCAACAGCCTAAAGGCAAAAGTATAAATATAGTTAAAAAAAATAACAATCATGTGAATATGAATGTAACGGTGTACACATTCACTCACTGCTGTCTGCAGCCTTCTTGATTCCACACTCGTCCTCCGGGCAGTCGGGGCTGAGACCCATGAGGTCAAACCTGCACACACGCAGAAACGAGGCGTTTAAGGGAAATCAATAGATACAAGCACGGTATTGTCGATGCCGGGACGAGAGCCTATTCGCCGTTTCCAGGGAAACAATGGCCTCCAGTGTTGAGCTTCAAAAAAAAAAAAAAAGGCTGTTTGTTTCATGGTGCCAACTTACCACGCGGGCATCATGGACTTCATATTGAGAGTGACGGGGATCGGGGGCCTGCGGGGAAAACGTGACATGTCAGCGTAGGAAGATCAGTACCAGCAGCCAAATGTTGGTGTATTGATTTATTCACTCAACAACATTACAGATAAACGATTGCTTCAAAGATGATTTTGCATTCTGACATGCTTAAGAAAAAAAAGAGAGCAAGAGACAGTTTGTTCACAGGTTACTCCACTCCAGCACACCAAGAAGAAGACATTAGTTTTCCTCCCCTGCTGACAAGCGACAGTCTTCGGAGGAACAAAACATGACAGGAGGAATCGTAGAAACAGAAAAAGACTTACGCGTGGGGGCAGATGAATTTGACGTGAGGCAGCTGGATCTCCGTCAGGGAGTCTGCCCACCCATGCCTGACAGGAAACAGAGAGAAAGAAATGCTTTGTTTCTCATCCAGCTTCAGCAAAACGACAAATATGCAGCATGCCAAAAACCCACATGGATTACAACTAAAGAGTGTGTTGTGTAAAGTGAGAGTATGTGGCCTTAACTGGAGGTACAATTAGGTACTCAAGAGAAAAACACCCACCAAAGGGGATATCTTTGATCTCCACTGACGCAATTTAACAGCTGATTTAGGGACTCAGCCGACATCAAGTGTTGGTTTGAGAGCTTTTTGAATTAGCCAATCATTGTGTTGTCAGCTGTGTATTATGAAATTAAACTACATGAATGAGGATATCAATTAGCTGCATTTACACTCCACCACTTCGGGCAGTTCAAACAGCTATCGGATACTTCAAAAAATAAAGCCAAAAGTAAATTTAACACGGCTGTAGCCAGGATTTCAGAAATACTCAGGTCATGAATGCACAAGCAGCGAAGACACATTTCAATAGAGGCAAAAAACAAAACTGTGTAAAACGTATTAAAAAGAGTATTCAATGTTCATGTTTGCGTTAACAGTCCCCCTTCACTCAAAGGTCTGTTTTGCTTATTGTTACTTCACTGTTCGAGCTTCGCTGTGCAGAATGACTTTACGTGCAGAGTTTGACACTCGCAGACTGTTTTCACGATCATCTGCCAAAGAAGGAAAGTCTCCCCGTGTGCAAGTACACAACCACCGACAGTGATCACGTCTGTCCGGGTCCAACTGATCTTTACAAGCCGATGATTACTAGAAACAACTTGTTTTTCTTTATTTCTCATGCAGATTACCATCTAATTGACATTTGTGTATTTATAACATAAATATAAGGTAACTGAACGGACAGCTTTGCTATTTACTGAATTGTATTGGATGTTTCTAAACACAGTGCAGCTGTCTCAACCACAGTTGCTTTCCCCGTGCGCATTCGTTTTCTGTCTCCATCGCGAGCGGCCATGACTGTTCCTCGTTGTTTCAGTCGACAACACAAGGTTGCCTGAGAAACAATAAGTTTCATTGCTGTATCTCTTGGGCTCGTTTTTGGCAGTTTGTCATAAGCTTCAAAGAGACTACGCTTCTCATTTAGAGAAAAGGACTTTCTTTATCCCGTCAAGTATTTAGTGTGCACGCAGCACCAGCTCAGAGGCAAAGCATCAATGAACACTGTAAGCAGAGCACTTGATTACGGTTAGCAACAGTATTTTAATGACATTTGTATAGGTATGATGGTCTTCCAATGGTGTTTATACCCTTACTTTGAAAAATACAAACATTGTCCTCCATTAACCTTTTTTATTTATATCTAAACACAGGCAGCCTTACAAGAACTTCTCCTGAATGAGATAATGTGTTCTTGTTTACCAAAACCAGGAACACATTTCAGCCTGTACCACAAAGGTCCCGAGCTTCTGCCTCATGAAAAGCTTCTGTTGTAATAGCTGAAGCAGGAAATTCATTTACAAGTATGAAGCCATCAAACTTATGTAGAAAGTACAGGTGCGCTTCTGCTCTGATATTCAAATATACGTTCAAAGTGTGACAACTAATGAATGCAGAACACATGTGAACAGGCTAATGAAATCTTTCAGAGGTCTGCATGGAAAGATGTTCACAACATGAATAAAGAGTAAAACATCACTCACCCTGAGTCTCCTAACCCATGAAGGAAGATCACCTGCAGCGCAGATACACACACAAAAAAAGAAAAGCTGGTTAGAACCATCTCTTTAAATATTCACATTTTACCCAAAGAAACCAAATGCAGAGACAATAATATTTGAAATGTTCCGATAGCCATCAATCACATTGGACACACTAATTGCCGGAGGGAAAAAGCCACAACTTGAAGACATCTGGTCCCATTGCGTCGGTCTTGTAGTACAGAAAGTACTACAGATAAGTGTTGCATACTTGTTCCACAACAGGGAATAACAGGTGCCAATCTCAAATTCTGGCCAAGATAAGCTCTCACTGCCAGTCTCCACACACGCCGCTGCCCGCAGAGAATCCATGAAAGGGAAGAACGACAATCTAGAAAGCTGGCAATTCGCTGTTCGCTGGCTGGGAATCAAGAGGCTCAGCTGTCTTTGCAGAGATCAAAACACACGCAGAGATCCATGTAGGGTTTGCTGGGACCAGTGACTGTCAGCTTTGATCCGGCTGTTTAACAAATGCCTGCACTGTACCCGACAGCTCCTTTCATTTTTATTCTACTGTACCTGTTACACATCCTGCTACAGGTGAGGCCTCTCGTCATAAAGGAATAGTGGTTACTTGGACTCTACTGGGATTTTGTTATACATACTGAACAGGGCTGAATATTTCTACATCCTTGTTAAAGGGTGAAGTTGGTGTTCATTGCTTTTAAAAGCTTTAGCAGCTTTCAATGTCATGTTTAGATATTTGATGCGGGGCGACACTTTAAACCGTGGATTGTGTCTTGACGTGCATGGTGATGGTTAGGACTCGGTATCTTTAGAATTATAAAATATTTTACACAAATCATTTTCTACAAAAAAGTGTTAGTAGTCTGAAACTTAGTCTGAAGTCTTAAATTAGGAATGATCTAACAAAAGAATAAACAAGTAAAGAAAATTAGGAAGGATGTTGCCAGCTGTCAATATTCCACATTTATTAAAACTCTGATCTATGAACATGTTCTTGCAAATACAGTCATTGGAGTTTAATGCTCACAAAATCCAGCACAAGGACACTAAAACATCTGAATAAAAAGAAAACTAATTCCATTTAAGTTATGTGTGTGTTGTTCAACAATGGTAAATGTGATGTTAAACAAATGTTAAAGTGTTCCTCAAACTGTTTTCATAAATGATTTTGTCAGCATTTGAATGCAACTCAGTTAGTTTTTTCAAATGTATTGCCCATGTACCACAATATAATTCCACTTAAATGAGTTTAATCCATAACATTATGCTGGAAGGCAAATAAAGGGATATGACAAGTCAAACCCGCTCTGTAGAGATTAGGAAAGGCTGCTCCTGCCTCTGACATCCTCTTCTTGGGAGAATCAGAAGCCAAAAGTAAAGACCCAGTGGATGAGAGGTATTTTGGTTTTCACATACTTTAATCAAGCACTCGCCGTCTGATCTGGTTTTAATGGAGCATGGCTATTATTGGAGAGCAAGTCCCTGTTCCTACACAAAACATGGCTACAGGGAACCTTCCATCATGAAAAGTGACCATAAAACGCTCTGAATACATATACTGAACACATATACTGAATACATATGCAAGGCTTTTGCAGTTTCACTCACCACAGCAGTCTCCTTCTCCTTCCCGGACACCGTCACAGCTTCTGCGAGCAGCGGCACAGACATGTTGTTGCCACACATACACTGTGAGAGGTGCTGGAGACAGAAGAGAAAAAAATAAAAAAAAGTCAGCTGAGTGCAGAAGTACATTAAATATGCTGTCATGTGCGTTGGGGCCAAACAAAGAGCTTTATTTAACTCAATTTAAGCAATTTGCAAAAACGTCCGCGAGTTCCCAGAGCCTTGGTATTAACCATTCACATCACAGAAGAGGAATATTCAGAAATCTACTCCGGGTTCAAACTTAACATCTGTTATTCCTGTGGTTGAAGAGAGATTAGTAGATCTGATAAATGTTTTTAATAACACAAATGAATATTAGTTTACCCAAATGATCAGGAGTCATTTGATTACATCATATTAACTTGTTTTCTCTGGTTTCTTCACCTGCAGGACAAGTGAACTGTACAAGCTCAACAAAGCAGATAAGGACATCATTTCCACTTTTTAAATCACATTTTGGCATTTTTGGTTTGATGCAAACACAAAAATGCCCTGACTGCGAAAATCCAGATGAGAAAAGAGAGGATTTTCTTCCAATGATCAATGTTCAGAGCCGTCCCTTATGACTCAGAGCACTAAACTTTACGAGCAGCGACGGTGAGAGCTTTGTGGAATGAATGGGATTTTAAGAGGGGTTAGTGAATTATTAATGTACTACCATTAGGGTCGCAACTAACAATTACTTTTATTATCAAATAATCCGCCATTTATTTTCTCAGTTAATCCTTCGATCTGTGAAATAATAAAATGTAGTGAAACGGTGCAGTTTGCAATTTCTCCAAGACCACAGGGATCCCTTCATCTAGCTCGTTGTCCAGCCAACAGTCCAAAACCATAACATATTTATGATAAGTCGATCAGAGATAATCGGCAACAGTGTCGGCCGAATGGAAACTGCAGTGCATCACAAATTACGTTTGAGGTTATTTTGAAAGTGTACAGATTTTTACCTTTTCTACCATCTTCAGAAAAAACAACAACAACTAACAAAACAATCCAAGTGATCCGTATAAGAGGTCGACCGAAAGTGGATTTTTAAAGACCGATATAAAGACGATAGCTTGGATGAGGAAAAAGCTGATAGCAGACTATACCATACGTTACATTTGATAGAATGATAGAAATGTACAGTATATAATATAGGAAATAGCAGGGTTACCTTAAGAACAATAACTGTAATGTCACAAATTATCTTCTGTTGAAGTATAACATTTTTCGATTACAATTCTCTTCCTTCAAACAAACCTGTTCACAAAAGTAAAAAAAAACAACCGAACTTTCGTTCAAACAAAGTTTGAATACGCGATGTATTCCAACTCTGGAACACGTGGAACTTATTAAAAAGAGGTTACAGGCAGACAAGTAATGGACAGTTGTATGCGTCATGTCGTGTCATGTTGTTTTGGAGGACTAAACGTTTGTTTAACATCAGCAATGACAATGAACAGCCCTCTACGACAGTATACCTCCTGCTGGTTAACAGAGCAGCCATTCAGTCCACAGACAGGAACAACAAAGCTCAACATACCACTTATACGGAAAACACACATAATGAAGCTGCTGCTGAACCTAAAAACAGCAGTCATGAGCTATGTGTGTTTTTGTGTGTGTCAGCAAGTCACCAGACTCATTAACTAAATGAAACGCCCCCCCCCCCCCCTCTACTGTACTCTGCAACCCGGCTGCAGACGTCCAAACCCTCTGTGAGTCAGCCATCGATAGCGAGCATGAAACATGACATCAGATTTACAGTAACGTCGAGCAGTAAAAGCCTTAATGCCCTTCAGCTTTCCGTCGATGTGGGAAAGAATGAGCCAGGGCGGGTCAAGACGACGCGCTGCCTGATTGGTAAACGGGCGATGGGGAGACGAGGAAATGACCGAAAGACAAAGGTTAATATTTAAACCTTGAGCGGGATTATACTCTACGGGTGTTCAAATTCCTCCACCGTTACGGCCGAGCAGCTAAATGCTGCTGCTCAGCTCTGTGAGATTGCTCTTTGGCATGTGACAAATTGTAGTCTGAAGGTCATACTCACGTCGAAAACACGTGGAAGTGGACGGTAAATCTGAGATTCAAGCGTCCAAAGTGTGGACAAAAGAAGGTTATTTTTGCCTCTCATCCGGTGCCTTGATAAATGAGTAATGGTTCAATAATAACTGGGTGTAGGCAGCAGGAAGTGGTCTCTTTCAGTGCTGTACTCAGTAGCAAGGATGACATTTTCCACATGTATGTTACATTTACTCCAGTCGGTTTAAGTACAATTCTTGTATTTTACTGGAGTATTTCCATGTTATGCTACTTTATGCGTCTACTTCAACAAATTTCAGAGACAAACATTGTACTTTTTACTGCACTACATTTATCTAACAGCTATAAAAATCTACTTTTCAGAGTTAGATTTCACATTTAAAACACAGACACTTATAAATTACAATGTATTGTTAAAGCTTAAACCAATTGCTGTGTCACATTTCAGATGTCTGATGACCCCCTCTAAACTCCTGATGGTTTAATTAATTTCATTTCAACTGTTTGCGGATCTAAAAAAAAAAAAAAAAAAGGAGAAAATTACCCAATAGGTCAGAAAAAAATAAATAGCATGTATGCATTAGAACTTCTCTTCTTCTTTCCTCTCCATTAGTCATCTCATGAGCCCCATATTTATCTTGTGACCCGTAAGAGGGGCCCGAGCCCTAGGTTGGGCATCACTGGAATATAAAGAAGTTCAAACTAGCTCCAACTCCAGCAGCTGCAACACCAAAATGCACTTGATCCATCAGTATTAATAATATCAGATATATAATAATACATCAGTAAGATGAGCTATTTTTCTGCAGGACGAATATTTTTACTTTTATTACGAGCACATTTTGCTGATAATACTTCTGTACTTTTACTTAAGTGGGATTTTAAATGCACTTTTACTTGTAATTATGTATTCTGTAAGAGTTGGATTACACCTTAAGTTAAGAGATGTGAGCTCTCCTTCCACCATCTGAATGATTTGACACGAACAAAATGTGATGTGATGAAAATGCGCATCACAAGACTCATTCATTGTCAACCATTTTCTAATTCACTATTAAAAACATTTTGATTTTCAGCTAATGTAATTTAGCTGCAATATGGCCCAGAGTGGGAACAGACTGTGCCACATCGATAATAAGACTAAAAGCAGGTCTCACAAGAAGACCAGTGCTGTAAACAAAGAGATGAGAAGAAAGGATGGAGAAGAGGATGGAGAGTGCAGGAACATCAGATAATCTGTTCTAACAAGCTCTTGAAACATGGTAGCATACGCAAAGAGGTGATTAATCACGTTTACACTCTTTTTCCCCTCCAACCGCTATCGTTAAGCAGATTCACAGCGACCTGTAACCAAGAGCACCAGCAGAAAAAAACAAAACGTGTGGGTTTTCAATGCTCCAAAAAACAATGGCTCGCTCTCTACGCTTCTGGAGGAGGCTGCTGGTTAAAAATAGCTTCACGCTGTGTACAAGCATCTTGTTCAGTTCAGATTGGGTCTGAAATGAGGGCTTGTTCCACACATTCAATTTAATCTATAACATGGGGTTTCTAACGGACCGTGCACTCCTCTAACAACTAAATGGGTGCAGATAAAACCCTGTATTTTCCACTACCCTTTGCTAGTAATGATAAATATTTACACTGTGGATGAAAATGCACCAACTATACGTTTAACGCTGGAGAAGCCCTCAAAACGTCTTAGTGGAACTGATGAATATTGTCGATTTGATGTTGTAATATCTTGAGTCGTCTCCTGATATCAAAAGCTGTATTAAGGCTTGTACTGTGATAATTATGTACATTTTCTGTTCATTATGTTTGCGATAAATCAATTGGTCTATGAAATGCATGTTCTCTGAGCCCGTAGTAAGATTTAAAAATTGCTTATTTTGCCTAAAATTGACAAATACTTTATTTGAAATGTATGTATAACAGAGAAAAGCTGAAAATCTTCACATAAGCTAAACTGGAAGCTGGGGGATGTTGCATTTTCGCTTGAGAAATTAATTAAACAATGAATTGATTATGAAAATTGTCTGCGATGAATTCTCTGTTGGTCGACTAATCGTTTCAGCTCTAAACTGCTCATTCATTTAAATCATTAACAAACAAAAAAGCCAAACACTTCCTGGTTACTGCTGATAAATGTGAGGACCAGCTGTTTTATATCATTGTATCTTTTGAACAGCTGGTCGGAAAAAAATATGCCATTTTAAGACCTCGCCTTTAGCTTCTGCGATATCTTTTACTATTTTCTTTACACTTACGGCATAATACGGTAAACGTAATGAATAAAAACAAACATTGGTTGCTTTCTTTGTACATTTAACAATATAGTTAGTTATGGCGTCAATTTCGACAGGCGTGTCCAGCCGGTAAACTGTTGTTCCAAGCCATCCCCATCTCTCGACCCCTTCATTCCATGTCACCTTTCTGTCAACTTTCTTCTAAAAAGGCATAAAATTCCCCAAAATACTTTCAAACCAGATTGATTAAGTAGCTGATTGATACAAAATAGATACTGTAGTGGATAACATCTTGCATTTTGTTCAATTAACTAAAATCTAAGTCCATAGCAACTACTCAATATTACTTTTAGGTGACACAAACCACAAAAGAAAATAAAGACGCCGCCTCACGAGTTCCCATCCTGCATGACTCCAATTACATTTAAGTCTAACGTAAGAAAAAATGAGTCGTGCTGCAGCCAGTTTGTGTGTGTGTGGACGTCACACGACTGAACACACGAGCACGAACACCAGGCTGCTGCATTCAGACAGCTCTTTGCTCAATGACTACGGATGGCTGGCAAACAACAGGATAATATGCGGCAATGAGTGACAGGCAGCCCCCCCACCCCCGTCCTCCTCACACACCATCCACCAGCAGCAGCTACCTCTGCTCTCCGCCTGCTGCTGATGGAGGTTAATAGCTCCGAGTGGCCGGTGGTAAGCCACTATTGTTCAGCGGTATATACCGATGACGACAGTGGCATACCACTCCGGGGATCAGCATGTACCGCTGAACAATAGTGCTACTGATAGCTCGGCTACTAGCTAACCTAGCTGATATAGAAACACACCGCAGCCGAGGGAGAAAGGTGCAATCAGTGACGTTTAAAAAGGTTGTATAAAAATAGAAAATACTGGAGGTTGAAGCGGGTGGTGTTGTGTCGAAGAGGAAGGAGACAATGAATGGTTGAAGCTAAGCAAAGTTATTCGACCCATCATCCTCAGTTGTGATGGCATTCAGCGGTGCAAAGCTTCTGTTGCCCTAAAAATGACAAACTCCCATCCCTCGCGCTCGCCTTTAATCTCGGTTTAGCTGGCCCCCCCCCCCCC